GTAGTAGCAGCAGCAGCAGTAGTTCGTAGTAGGTAGCCACGTATTTCTGCTCATTTCCGCTGCTCTTTGTATGCAAGCGGTGATCGCGGTTGATCTTAGTGCTTGATTTTATGTCTTAAACTTGACGCCCGCACTTCCAAATTTTAAACCACGCCCCTTGTTTGTTTTGCCCCTCCACGACCAATGACGCACCCTCATTGTTTGCCGCGCTTACGACCCCAGTCCCCCATTGTTGTTCGCACCCCCAGTGTTCTTGTTCTTCTTCTACTTCTTCTTCCAAACAACGAGCCTTGCTTTATTCGTGTTCCCTCTGTGTTGTTCTTGGCACGGCCGCCTCTCCCTGTTGTTGTGGTGGTTGCTGCAGCTACTGCTGGTGGTGGCGGTGTTGCTGCTGCTGNNTGTTGTTGTTGTTGTTGTTGTTCTACCCTGCCCCGCATGGTCACCCCTTCCTGCGATCTTCAAGCAACAGCTTCCGCTCGTAGCTACGCATGTACAGAAGTCCAAGCATCCCTCCATGCATCCCTCCCTGCCTCACTCCTTCCACGTATTCATGCATGTATGCAGCCATACATCCATGAATCCATGCGTGCAGGGCATACAAGTTATAAGTGCATGACATATGCTTATGTATGTATGTATGTATGTATATACACACATTATATGCTTTGATGTTTTCTGATCAGTATAGTAATAGTACTTACGATTATTAGCAGTATTAGTGTTATTGTTGCGGATAAATGCAGATACCTTTCTCCAGCATATGAATTATATACATGTATGTTTTGTTTGAACCGATTTTCACATTTGCAGCTATCTACACACACACACACATCCGAGACATACCATGAGGCTATAACCAAGACAAGCATCGTCAAGCTTTGGTGGACTGGGTGAATGCCACGGGCAAAAAGTCGACGGCCTTCGACTTCACGACGAAGGGCATCCTGCAGGAAGCCTGCAGGCTCACGCAGTTCTGGAGGCCCGATACGTAACCATCTTCACATGTATTCCTATAGGTTTCTAGATACATAATCGTACAGACATGTACAGACGATATATAATTAAGTAAATATTTAAAATATCAATACAGAACTACATACATCTTGAGATATTTCAGTAATTAAATCTATAAAATATTTGAAACGTTTAGATTTTAGATATCTAAATGTACGAGTTAAAGCGTACACAAATATCTAAATTAGTGAACATGTAATTAAATAGAAACATAGATATATACATATGTAACTGTATAAGTATATATATATATATA